GTGTTGCACTCTCTATAAGACTCGGTTTCACTTAGAGAATGATGAACTTAGAACGGTGGAAGGTACCTATATGGATTTGTGGTATAAACAGCTTGGCCACATGAGAGAGAAAAGACTACAAACTCTCGCAAGGTGACAACTACTTCCATCCATGCAATGTACAACACTATCCCACTGTGATCGCTGCTTGATTGGGAAACAACACCGTGTAGCTTTTGTTAAAAATTATGACAAAAAGAAAACTGGCATAGTAGACTTAGTCTATTCGGATGTATGCGGACCTATAAATGAAAAAACTTTTAGTAGTGCCTCATACTTTGTGACCTTCATAGATGATGCATCTAGAAAGGTGTGGGTGTATGTCATAAAAACCAACATAGATGATGCATCTAGAAAGGTGTGGGTGTATGTCATAAAAACCAAAGATCAAGTCTTTGAAGTTTTCAAAGACTTTCATGTGTGGGTGTATGTCATAAAAACCAAAGATCAAGTCTTTGAAGTTTTCAAAGACTTTCATACCAAAGTTAAAAGAGAAACCGAAAAGCTCTTGAAGTGTATTCACACTGATAATGGTGATGAGTATACTTCAAGGATGTTTGAAGACTATTGTTCTTTTTATGGTATTAGACATCATAAGACTGTTCCACACAAACCACAACACAATGGGATTGCAGAAATGATGAACCGCACAAGTTGGAAAGGATAAAGAGTATGCTATCCTTAGCTAAATTACCAAAAATATTTTGGGGAGAAGCAGTGTGAATAGCCTGCTACTTGATAAACATGTCCCCCTCAGTTCCCTTAGATGGAGATATTCCTGAAAGAGTTTGGAGCGGAAAGGATATTTCATATTCTCACTTGCGGGTGTTCGAGTGCAAGGCATTTGTACATGTACCTAAGGAAAAAAGAACAAAACTTGATGATAAAGCTATTCCATGCATCTTCCTAGGATATGGAAATGATGAATTTGGGTATAGGTTGCGAGATCCTAAAAATAAGAAAATTATGAGGAGCAGGGATGTTGTTTTTTGTGAAGATAAAACACTTACTGATTTTGAAAAAAAAGATGAGCCACAAAACACTCATATCATCCCAGATCCAATCTCTACACCAGTGGTTTTTCCCTCTCCCATACTAGAAAATAATGATTTTTAAGATGTGCAGGAAGAAAAAGAAATTACAGGTTCCCCAGGTTTTGATAAGGGGGAGCATGGACATGCAGAGCCACAATATATGGATCAGCCACAAGTACCTTAGTGGAGACGGTCAGAGAGAGAATGACAACCCTCAACTAGATACACTGCTTCAGAATATACTATGATAACAGATGCAGATGAACCGGAAAGTTTTCATGAAGCACAAGTTCATGATGATCGTGCAAAATGGAAGAAAGCTATGCAAGGGGAGACAGATTCTTTGCATAAGAATCACACTTATGACTTGGTGGAGCTACCTAAGAACATAAAAGCCTTAAAGAACAAATGGGTGTTCAAAATCAAGAATGAAGGAAATGGTCAAGTCAAGTACAAAGATCGCCTCGTGATGAAAGGTTTCAGTCAGAAGCAAGGTGTTGACTATGAAGAAATTTTTTCTCCTGTTGTAAAGATGTCTTCTATTCAGGTTATTCTTGGTCTTGCTGCTTCTCAAGACCTTGAAGTTGAGCAGTTAGATGTGAAGACAACATTCCTCCATGATGATTTGGCAGAAGAAATCTATATGGAGCAGCCAGAGGGTTTCAAGGTAAAGAGCAAAGAACACTTGGTTTGCAAATTGAAGAAGAGCTTGTACGGATTCAAGCAGGTACCACGACGATGGTATAAAAGGTTTGATTCTTTTATGCTTGACCATGGATACAAAAGAACATCTGCAAATCATTATGTTTATGTCCAAAAGTTCTCGGATGCTGATTTTATTATTCTCTCTCTATATGTTGATGATATGCTTGTTGTTGGAAAAATAGGTCTAATATTAATAGGTTGAAGAAAGAGCTGAGCAAGTCCTTTGACATGAAGAACTTAGGAGCAACACAACATATATTGGGAATGAAGATTTCTCGAGACAGAAGTGCGAGAAAGTTGTGGCTATCACAAGAAAGATACATTGAACGTGTTCTAGAGAGGTTCAATATGTTGAACTGTAAGCCAGTCAGCACATCGCTAGCAGCTCATTTTAAGCTAAGTACACAACAAAGCCCTTCAAGTGAGAAGGAGGAGGAGGAGATGAAGAGCATTCTATTTTCCTCGGCCGTCGAAAGTTTGATGTACTCTATTGTTTGTACAAGACCCGACATAGCACATGCAGTTAGAGTGGTAAGTCGTTATATTGCCAATCCTGGTAAAGAACATTGGGAAGCAGTAAAGGATTCTAAGATATCTTACAAGAACCTCTAAATATTCTTTATGTTTTGGAGATGGAAAACCTATCTTAGAAGGCTACACTGATTCTGATATGTCTGGTGACTTGGACAAAAGAAAGTCCACATCAGGATACTTATTTACCTTTACAGGGGGGCTGTATTATGACAATCAAAGCTGCAAAAGTGTATCGCTCTATCCACCACAGAAGCTGAGTATATCGCTACTACAGAAGCCAGCAAGAAGCTCTTGTGGATGAAGAATTTTCTGAAGGAGCTATCTCTCAAGCAAGAGAAGTACACTCTATACTGTGTGGATGAAGAATTTTCTGAAGGAGCTATCTCTCAAGCAAGAGAAGTACACTCTATACTGTGACAGTCAGAGCGCCATCGACTTGAGTAAAAATGCTACCTCTCAAGCAAGAGAAGTACACTCTATACTGTGACAGTCAGAGCGCCATCGACTTGAGTAAAAATGCTACCCATCACTCAAGGATAAAACATATCGACGTACGCTTTCATTGGATCCGTGATGCTTTGGAGAATTGTCTTTTGCACATTAAGAAGATTGATACTAGCCAAAATCCGTCTGATATGATGACGAAGCCTCTACCAAAAGAGAAGCATGACTTCTGCCGAAGAAAGGCAAGTATGACTACTATTTGAAAACTTTCTCCTCATGAGGATGGAGGGGGAGATTGATGGGAACCGGGGTCCATCCCCATGATGAATTAATATAGATTTAATCCATGGAGATTTTATAGTTGACTACATGCATGCATTAATAGATTGTCTTTTCCCATGCATTGGAAAAAGGAAGGGTTAGTCTTTAGACTTCCCCATGCAATGAATGCGGTGTAACCAAGAGGCATATACTCCCTATAAATAGAGGGGAGATGGTGAATGTTGAAAGCAAGAAGCAAGAAGAAGAACCACGTACAATCTGTAATCCTTAATTGAGTTTTGAGAGAGAGTTGTAATCCTCAAGTGAGTTTTGACAGAAAGTGATCATCAAGTTAAATTATACCAACTTGAGAGAAGACCCTTTGTAAACTTTCATTTGATTATAGTGGAAACGGTGAAGAAGGGGCGGGTGAGGACGTAGGCTCAATTTGAGCTGAACCTCGGTAAATCTTGTGTGTGCAATCTCTCTATTTCTCTTGTTTTTTTCTTATCTCGTCACAAAAACGGGAAAGGTCTTGTTGTACTGATAATTTCCCAACAACAGCTACTTCCAATACCACCACGCAAGAAATGCAGGAATGAAAGCTTAGATTACCTCCTCCTGCAAATTTTCTAAATCTCCCTGAAAATCTTGATATTTCTGCAGCAGGTACGGAAAGAATTCCGGCCAAAACAAATGTCAGACAGGTTATCTGTGCTTTTACGTTTTCAAGTAAATGAAGGAATGAGTCGTTCAAGTTGGGGCTCCAGGAACCATAAAGAGCTTAATACCTACAAACTGGGAGCCGCATCAGGAAACTTAAAATCGGCGGCAAAATGCAGCGACAATGAACTGCGTGTTCTGGTCGCCATTCATTTTTAGTGTGCAATGTCCTGAGGTTTTGCTGCCTTTACAGAATGCAAATCGATGCAAACTGCATCGCGTGGCTTAGTTAGCTTCCATCTGCTTCATGAACTAAGTCACAGCTCGTTGTTGCATGGAGATATTGGTTCTCTAAGTACCTGTAGCATGTTACTAAATCAAAAAATGTGAACATTATGCCCGTCATAGAAATCAAAAAGAAAATTTCTACGGGTCTAACGCTACTAGAGGTTAAATTCTCTCTTCAGAATGTTCGGCAACATTCCTGATATTTATGTTTGGTTGAATTCCAACGAAGGTAGATTTGCAGCAATATCTTTGTAACGTGCTGCGCAAGAAAAATGGTTGCAACTTCTTACCAACTTGATCAGAAAATACTTGAATGACCATTTAAATTTTCAGGAAGCAACCTTAGCCCAACCTAAACATGCTTCAGACTTACCATGCCTTCCTCTGTTGCCAGTATCATTATATGAAAATGAAATTTAGCCGATAATAGTTGAAGCAGCCATGAATTGACCATTTCACGAATGAGTTCATATTAGAACAATTACATCAAATTCTCTCTTACTTCCAGTATATCATGCCTAACTCTGTATCTATGAAGATAATAAACTAAGAGTGGTAGAAGTGACAGCAATTCTTGTTTTCGGTATTAATGACTAATTTGTCAATTAGTGCTTATTTTTTTCCCCTCACAACCCACTTGTACTAGATCACAATCTATTCTAAAAGAAAAAAATAAAAAAAAGAAACTTATCTTTGTTGAACAGGTTGGATGACTCTCTTCGTGCTGATATCATCAGCTGTACCGACAATGATCCCCAACGCAGTGTCTATGGTTGCCATATCAGAATCCATATCTTAAATTAAAAAAAAAAAACATAAACTAAAGGCAAACAAGCAATCAAGTAAGTACCATTACGAATATGAACACCATTAATAAAATCCCCATAACTAGCCTTTTAAACCCACGCCATCATCTACCCACCAGCAATCCGCCCTCCACCCTCCACCAAAAAATCACATCCCAAAAACGCTGTTAAAAGCCACCAAACCATGCTAACGCCTCTGACATGGCGACATATCAGTCGTCAAGCACGTGTACGAATCCTTGTACTCATGCCGCCCCCTCAACAGTCAATTCTTATGGCGCCAAATCTAACGATTAAATTTTTGTCAAACCGAAGTTAGGCAGATATCCTCCAAATTATGCTTTCCAATCCCTCTTAAAGCCAAAGCGCCGTAGCAAACTTTAGCAGTGTGCACCTCCTATACACTCAACTCACCCATCATGGTCAAAATCTTCATCCTGATACTATCTTTGCTCCCTCTTGGATCTCTAGCGATCAGCAATGGTGCCTCAAGAGACCGAGAGGCACTCATTGCCTTCGGCACTGGCATCACCGCAGACCCAAGCAATGCACTTGCAAACTGGGGGTCTAGAAACTCTGACGCGTGCAACTGGACCGGAGTCACGTGCCACAAGACCAAATGGCGTGTAGTGAAACTAGTCCTCAGTGACCGGAACCTCAGAGGGGTGATATCACCAGCGTTGGCCAATCTCTCCTTCTTATCAGTGCTTGATCTATCTGTCAACTACTTCTACGGAGAAGTCCCTACTGAGCTCGGGGCACTTTCTCGCTTGAAGGAGTTGAGCCTCACCACAAATCTTCTCCGTGGCTCGATCCCTGCAGAGCTTGGGCTGCTTAAGAAACTGGTTTACTTGGACGTGGGGAGTAACCGACTTACAGGGCCAGTACCGAAGACTCTCCTCTGTAACTGCTCTTCCTTGCAGTATGTCGATCTTTCAAACAATTCTCTAGCTGGAAAGATTGCCATCAGCGATAAGTGCAGGTTAAATGACTTGAAGTTTCTTTTACTTTGGTTGAATAACTTTGATGGACCAATACCTACTTCTCTGTCGAACTACTCAACGCTTGCATGGATTGATTTCGAGTCAAATTATCTTAGCGGAGAGCTGCCATCTGAGATTTTCAACAAGATGCCTTATCTTCAGTATCTTCACCTGTCCTATAATAACTTCTCAAGCTTCAGTACTAACACGAACTTTGACCTGTTCTTCACTTCATTAAGTAATAGCACTCACTTGCAAGAGCTTGAACTCGCTGGAAATAATCTCAGAGGTGTTATACCGTCATCTATTGGTGATATCTCAGCTAGTCTGCAGCAAATCCATCTTGAAGATAATCTCCTTTATGGTCCAATCCCAGCAAAAATATCCAATCTTGTAAACCTCACCTACTTGAACCTGTCAAATAATTTTTTGAATGGATCAATACCGTCCGATATATCCAAACTGAGGAGGCTAGAGAGGTTCTACTTGTCAAATAACTTGCTCTCAGGAGAGATCCCACCATCTCTTGGTCAAATTCCTCATTTAGGACTTGTTGATATATCTCGAAACATGCTCTCCGGTTCAATTCCTGATACTCTATCCAATCTCGCACAACTGCGAAGGCTAATGCTCCACAACAACCAGCTCTCAGGCACGATACCCTCCAGCCTTGGAAACTGTATAAATTTGGAAATCTTGGACCTCTCATACAATCAACTTTCAGGAGAAATTCCCAGCAATGTTGCAGAGCTGATGAGCTTGAAGCTGTACTTGAATTTGTCGAGCAATTTCTTGAGTGGTCCTCTTCCAACAGAGCTCAGCAAGATGAATATGATCATGGCATTGGATCTATCATCAAACAATTTCTCTGGCTCAATCCCTCCCCAACTTGGAATCTGCATTGCCCTCGAGTACCTCAACCTTTCATTTAATTCCCTACAAGGCCCCCTCCCAAACTCTATTGGGGCTTTGCCTTATCTCAAATCACTGGACCTGTCCTCAAACAAGTTGACAGGAACTATGCCCAAGTCCTTACAAACCTCTTCAACCCTTAAACAACTCAATGCCTCATTCAACAATTTTTCAGGGATCGTACCGAGCCAGGGAGTATTTGCTACCCTCTCTAAGGACTCCTTTATTGGCAACACTGAGCTCTGTAGCTCAATATTGGGAATATCACCATGCACACATGAAAAGGCGCACCATTTCGCCGTCCTGCCAATGGTTCTCACTCTTATTGCTTCATCGAGTTGCATGATGTGCCTTTTTGCTTATCCTCTAGTTCTTAGATCAAGAAGGAGATCTCAGGCATTAATCATGCAACACTCAAGGATGAGGGATGATAATGAACGAAGCACGAAAGAATACCCAAGGATTCATTACTGGGAACTTGAAAAGGCAACTGAAGGGTTCTCGGAATCTAATATAATTGGTGCAGGCAGGTTTGGGCAAGTTTACAAAGGAATTCTTTCAGATGAAATGAGAATAGCAGTGAAGGTTTTGAATCTGAATATCGGTGAGAGGGAAATTTCAGGAAGCTTCAGACGAGAATGCGAGGTTCTGAAAAGGATTAGACATCGCAATTTGATCAAGATCATAACAACTTGTAGCAAACCAGATTTTCAAGCTCTAGTCCTTCCTTTGATGACAAATGGGAACCTCGACATCCATCTCTATCCTCCAGATGGGTCCAGCTACAGATTGAGCTTGGTTCAAATGGTGAGCATAGCAAGTGATATCGCTGAAGGGATTGCATACCTGCACCATTACGCTCCAGTTAAAGTGGTCCACTGTGATCTGAAGCCAAGCAATGTTCTTCTAGACGAAGACATGACAGCAATTGTATCAGATTTCGGGATTGCAAGATTAATGCAGGGTGATTGCAATGAAGGAAGCGGTGGCAATGATAGCTCTGCATCGTGTATTTCGACCAATGGGCTGTTACATGGATCTGTTGGTTATATAGCACCCGGTACGTAAAATTTCTAACAGATCTCGTTTCCATTTGCAAGTCGTTTTTAGAAAGCATAGTACCTTAAGTCACAGTTCCAATATGCAAACGCTCGTACATTCAAAATGCAGCAGTTCGCAACTTTATGCGCATCATAAGCCAGGGAAATAACCATGCATGTAGTTGTTAACCTGATTTGGGCAGTGTTAAATGTATCCACAGTAAGAAATCTAATAAAGTTGGTACTAGTCAACTTTAGCCATGTAACAAGAGTTTTGCATATGGACATTGCTAATGAAATCACATCCTTAAATTTTTTATTTTTATTGAGAGCTTGATAAAAGATTTACTAAAGACTTATTCTAGGCTCATGAAGCTGTTTTGTCCTTGCTTATAACGTCCATACTTTTGACATAAGATGTTTCAAGAGATTAAGATACATTTTTCCCTGTAGATGCACTTCAATATTTATATAACTGGACTTCTAGTTAGAGTGCCTCAAGGGTATGCTTAGAAGTTTCTCTCAAGTCCATTTTGCTTCTAATCGTCCAATAGCTTGCATATGATTGTATATTATGTTCAACAAAAATTTTCATCATCCATCAATCTGCATCTCTCTCCATTAGTGATACGTCCCACACGTTTAAACATCGAATAACTGTGGGAACACCTTGCACTTTAGTTTTCATACTGCTAACGTATTAGTAATTTGTACGATATTAAACACACTGATATTTATGACTACAGAATATGGTTTTGGAGGCCAACCTTCAACACAAGGTGATGTTTATAGCTTTGGCATTCTTCTGTTGGAGATCATAACTGGAAAGAGACCCACCAGTGTTACATTTCATGAGGGACTCACCCTGCCAGATTGGGTGAAAAGTCACTATCCAGAGAACATTGACCCCCTAATCTCAAATATATCTCCAATGGATTGGCCCTCATCCGACGAATCTTTATACTACAAGAAACTCAAGAGAGACGTGGCGATAGAGATGATTGAGCTGGGTCTCATCTGCTCGCACTTCACTCCTATAATAAGGCCCACAATGATCGACGTTGCTCATGAACTGGCCCTACTAAAGCTTGACCTTTTGAGGCATGGCTCAAGACCACCTTCGGTACCTGATTCATCTTCCTGAACATTAAAGAAATTGTAATGCTAGAAAGGCACACTTTCGATTTGCTGGATCATTATCATATCAGTCACTTGGAATATTGTCCATTGTGATTTAATACTTTTCAATTTTCAATTCATAGATGGAGAAATCACTTTGAATATATTAATCATTGATGTTTGTCTAATGATATTCGTATTTAGTAAATATGTGGGTTGAAAGGTTCGGTGAGCACTTAAAACTTAAGAACCAATCGTTCATGGAAATCAATGATAGAATTAGCTTATGCAAACCTAACACTTTTCAACTCCTCCATTGTTTGATCTCTCAAAAGAATGATGCAAGTGCAGTATGTCAAAAAGTTTGGGCATGAATATTTAAACATAGGAGGTTGACATATCTGCTACAGCTAATTCATGACTAAGTGGGCGACAAACACACGCGCGCGAGCGCACACACAGAAACACGAGCGCACGCACAAACACGCATATAGTTGAGCTGCAATTCACTTTAGTGGATATGTGCTCTTGTCCATCTAACTTTTTATCCCTACATTTTGCTTTGAGACACATGCTGGACATCAATGCTATTATTGAGATGTGTGCCTTAATGCGTGTCACATACCAATGTGACTTTCAAAGCAAAACCAAACAGTGGAAATGAAAATCTGGATGTAGCGTTTGCTGTTGCAGCTCTATTTCCAGTCAGCCAAATAGCCCCTTAGTTACAAATTTTTTAAGGAGGCAATTATTTTACTTTGATTTGTAGGTGACGCTTCCCTATTGCCTGGAAGCCAAGAGAGAGAGGGATAAAATCCCCTGGAACCCCAAGAGCAGAAAGACCAACTTTAGCTATAAGAAAAGAAACCACCTCTATGCAAGTCATGCTTATGATAATCTACGACAAAACAAAGAAGAATATAGATACTAAAGAATCATGAAGATACGATGGAGTAGGAAAGGTTGCACTAGTCTCTAGTTTTGGGTTGAAATTTCACCAGTAGGGTCAGAATAAATATTATAACTTCTTTTTCAAGTGTTCATACTAATACTATATCATTAAAGAAGTCCAAAGTAGTCAATATTCCTGAGAAGATAGCATAATTTAATTATGCTATCTGAGATTTTGCTAGATTATTGTGGTTATCAAACTACCATTGTATGAATTATTTGAATAATTAACTATGAAAATCATCAGAAGATTTCAAAGAGCCAATGAGAAGAAGCAAGGGCCTCTTTGGACAATGAAACATGATATTGGCATCGGTTTCTCAAGGATAACAGTAGAGACTAATAAAAGTCGAGGATAAGAGCATAACCTTCCCATACGAATCATGGTAGGAAGTCAGACACCCTAGTGGGAAGTCTAGACAACTCTTTCCTATGATAATTAAAGAGAAAAAGGCCACAGTTTGGACCAGGAAACAAAAAAGATGATAATCATATTTGGAAATAAATTGCTTAGTTAGATTTGCAACTAAGACTTGATAGACAATTGACAAGGCAGGGAGAGTTTCAGAAGAAACATGTTGCTTGAGACATGCTATGGCAAATTCTATGCCTGAAATTGTCCCATAATTAAAGATTTTTTTATGTGACAAACTTGAAAATTGATCATGTGAAAGATGACTCCTAAACTGAAGATTTCATAGGGTTCCAAATAAGAACGTTGCAGTTCGCACACAAAAATCAACCTTAACATGTCTGAAGATCGCTTTGGATAATAATTGCAACTCTGACACATTATTAACGGCTTTGGAATATAAAGGCTTTTAACACAGGCTGAATACCATATCTATGAATATATGGCATTGGCTGTAAACCTAATACATTCGGATAGAACTCTTTTATTACTTGCAGATGTGGGAGTGTACTTCATATGTGACTAGCTCAATACTTCCACCATATTTAAACTAAAGATAAAAACAGAAATAAAGAGAGAGAAAAACACATAAAATAGCGGAAAGTCAAAGAGAGAACTTAGTAAAATATTTCGTATGTTTTGGTTGCTTTTCGACCAGAAGGTAGACTCTGGTACCACTGTTACATGAGCTTAGCGAATAAACCCTATCATTTTTTTTACTGTAATAGAAATGAAGTCCAAAGCCGCCATATTCTTGAGAAGATCACATAATTATTCGACCTGCAATTTGATAACATTATTGTGGCATCAAAGCATCATTTTACATGCATTTTTGGAATAATTAATTATGAGAATCATTATAATTTCAAATAATCAATCAGTACGAAGAACCAAAAGCCTCTTAAAACAAGCATCATACCTTTGCTTAAGGATAAGAGTAAGCCCAACGGAAGTTGAGAATTAAAAAAAAAAAAGAGCTTTATCACTTAAACAATGTTGAAAAGTTAAACACCCTGCTGCAACATTTGGAGGCTTTTTCTATGACAGCAAAAAAGAGTAAAAGCATTACAATTAGGAACCTTGAAGAAACGTTATTTTTGAGATAAAAAAAGATCTTATAATTTTCTTTTTCATGGATATGTCTTCATACTGTATTCATGGATTCTTCTTTCAATTGTCAACTTCAGGTTCAAGATGCATGTAGGTCATCTCAAAACTCATCTGAAGTGTGTCAAGTATGGCTTTTGTGGTCATATGACATTAAAACTTACTTATCAGGCTGCTCTCCAAGCAGCTCAGCAGCACGAAGCTAGTCATTTTGATCCAAGACACATGTAGATCATCTTGTGTCAAGCATTATACTCATAATGAACTCATATTAGGGATTAGTAGCAGGCAAGTCATTTTCTCAGTGATAACGGAACAGTCATTTCAGCTGAGCAAGTATTGGACTTTATGATACCAAATGTCATAATCCGGCATACAATTTCTTGAATCTCAATAAGTTTGCAATGACAGTTTTAGGTATCATAGCTAGCTAGTTCTCATATAAAGCATGCAGCTTAGCTAGGTTGCCTATTTTAATGAACCGGACTGGACAGAAGGGTTGGGCTAGCTGTGGGATGTTCTATTACTCGGGTCGCCTGGGCATCCAACAAGCTCGTATAACAGCCTGTCCTGGAACCAGCCTGTGTGGTTCCGGCCCAAATCGAGCCTGGTCTAGTTGCCATCATTAGAACTATGAACCATGTCCGAACTTGACTCAAAGCGAGTGTTTATTACGGCCAAACCTCAATATGAATCCAAACATAGAACAAAGATTCTACTGGCTTGGCAAGGCTTAAAAGTTTTGTTATGGTATTCTATAGCACCTCGTAGGAAAGAGAGGGATGGGAAACACCTAATAATGAAACCAATTTCCTAATTCCTGGTAAAGAATGCCCTATTCTTCTGTCTATTAAAATAAAAATGGCTAGAAATACCCAATAATCACTACTTTTACACCTAAAAGATGATAATTCATCATTCACAACAATGTTCTACAATCAAATCAAAGTGAATTGTTAAAAACAGAAGAATGTTTGAAGTACCACATTACTATTGAAATGGTTGTTTTAAAGAAAGTTTGAATTGCTATATTTCTGATCATGCATTATGTATCCAGCACTCTGAAATAGAGAGTGATGTGCAAGAAATGAGTGAAATACTGTAAAATGAATTGGAGGATACTACTTCACCATAGATTTAGCTTCAAGAACTAGCAACTGTATTTAAATTGGAGCTCATCCTCCCCTCCTCTACATACACAAAAAGACAGGAATTCATGTAGGCTGAGTTTAAAGGCCAAGGCGTCCTACTAAAGAAATTGGGTATCATGTGGGCCAAATGCAATACTGCCTCTTTCAAATGGGCCTTTGTCGTAAAAGAAATCACCCTTCTATTATTTCTCATTCCAACAGGATTGAGTTTCTCTTAAGAACAGATGTGCCTCAAATGAGTTTCCACCCCTATCTGCTCACTTTTAAGGACGGCTTGCTTCTTAAATACCTCAGTTACTTGTAGATGATTATCATTTCCTTCCTTGTTATAGAGAACATAATTGAATGGTGGAGTTAAATTAACTAGCGTGCACCCCGTGCAAAGTACGGCCCCCTATTTTTTGAAGCACTGCATTTTGAACTTGCCTACCCATAAGTTTTAATACATTTGATTTAATTATTTTTTGCTTATAATTAGAAATCAGATCTACTCCTCAATACTTAACGAATGATCCAACTTTTAATACATTTGATTTAGAAATCATATATCCTCTATACTTAAAGAAGGATCCAAGTTTTAATATATTTTATTTGTTTTACTGTTTATAATACAGTAATACTATAGCATAAATTGTAACTTCAAGTATGGAGGAGTAAATTTAATTTATTGTTATGTCTACAGTAAATTACTGTAACATGAACAATAACTTCGGGTGCAAAAGACCAGCTTTAATTTACTATTTATTCTATAATATTTATTGTAGCATGAACAATATTCTTTGGATTCTCCTTTACGTATAGAGGAGTAGATATGACTATCACTATACAATCAAATAGATACAGTAAAGCTTACCTCACAGGATTTGAACCATAACCTCTCTGTTTCCTTTTGCTTTTCTTTATCATCCTCCAACCTGAAATCAATATAGTGAAGTTCAGAACTAATAAGTATGGCTTTTGTCATAATATTTGACATCTATTAAAAAGCATACAGCAACTTGTCTAAAATAGGCAAAAATATTGATGAACAATCAGGAATTCGCTACTGAAACATTGGGTAAATTTTGAAGTGAAAGACTAAACAAGTATTAAGTTTATTTTCAGTAAAAATTATCAATATCATTTCCAAGATATTTCCAGAATACCTTTGTTGAAATAATAAAAGATATCCATGAATCCTTTATCACATTTTCAACTGGGAGAGAGGCTTAACGTGACATACACAAAATAGTCCTTTTACCTTTTTTCTGACATGCCCGGAGATTCTGAAAACTGCTAGTTATTTATTTTGTATTGTAGAAAGAGATAATAAAGAGAGCAAAACCCTAACTTTCTTAATTTATTTAGCTACTAGAGATATATATATATATATATATATAGTCATACAAATAGGAGTATGGTTAACGGGTCACAGCCCATTAACCCAATACCCAATAGACTTAATCT